TGTATTTACTATTTGGCTACCCAGTGGTATAATAATCCATGTGGAAGATAGAAAAGAAATGTGCAAATATTTCCCTTAAATTGTTTTCAAAGAAAGATATGGTTGCTCAGCATTCTGCAATTAGATATTTTCTTGTTCTTAAGAATGATTTTAAATGCGTGCGTTTAAATACATTCACATGCCAGTGTTTTATAGTTATTCTTCCTTTCCTTGTCCAGATTGTCCCATATTTGGCCAATAGTTGCCTATTCAAGTTGACTTCTGAAGAATTTCTGTTTTGTTTTAAATTAGTAATATTTTCTTCTTTTCAGTGAAGATTTACACACATTAGATTCCCATTTAACAATCTGCATAAATTGTTGCAGGACGTAGATTACACTCTTCATACTGTGTGTAACATTCTTACTCTTTCCATTCTGGTTGTTAGTTATGTTTTCATTAGTCTCCTAGACTCGTTGGTGCTTTTAACATGAGTCTCGCCATCACTGTCTGAAATGACATGATGTTACAACGTGTGCATTTCTTGCCTACAATTTGGATCAGTCATTTTTTCCAAAAAAGTCACACTGCCTTTTAGCAGAAATTTATTTGTGAAGACCAAAATCTAGGTACTAAGGTTAAGTGACTCTTTAACACATATGCTTGACTGGATCATCCTGGAGGAGAGCATTGTAATTCGTGAAAGAGAGTTGATATTCACAGGTCATTTTATAACCCCTACTCCCCTTTGTGATGCACTTCCATTGTTGTTGTTGTTGATTGCCTTCAAGTGGAGCAGGACTCACAGTGACCCTATGAACAAAAGGCCTGAAGCCCCTCTCATATATACTAACAAAATCTAGTTCTCTGCTCAAAGTTTCCCCGTTAGTTCATAGAACATGACGCTATGTGACCCTCTATTTAAATTGCAATTGAGGAAACTGAAGCTCAAAAACACTATGTACCTTACTCAGGGACAGATAGTAGTTACTGAAGGTAAGCTTAAAATGAAGGCCTTTGCCAAAGAGAGAGATTTATAGCAGATATCTTGCTTTGATTTGGAGATTTTCCTCACCCATGAGGCCATAAGTACATTTTAAGGAGATCCCTGTCCCAAATGAACCCACCTGCAGCTTTTCTTTCACAATAGTTACAAATGCATCCTTCCTTCTTGGAAAGCAGCTTAGTAAATTTGAATTTGAAATGAATGGCTTGACTAGGGGTCTGGGGCCAGACCAGCTTGGTATTGACCTCAGTGGGGTGGGAGGTAGGAGGGGGGTTTCTGTCATATTGAGACTGGTTTCATCATTGGTTGATTGTTCTTCTCCCTAGAAGGTGGGTAGGGCAGCGTGTTTCTGTCATATTGAGATTGGTTTGACATTTGGCTGATTGTCTGTTCTTCTTCCTCCTCTTTGTTTTATGACCCTCATTGTCCCCAACTTCATTGAGCCATTTCTCTAGAATCAAAATTTTTCTAAAAAACCTTCTCAAGATAAACTTTATGCTCAAATTTCTGTGAGTTTTGATATTTTAACACTTTAAAAACTTGATGATTTTTGTGAGAAATCTCCTGTCCAGAATAAGTGGGATAAGTGTCAGCTTCAGGAAGGTACAATTTGGAAGGATGAACGTAAAGCACATATGTTGGTCCATCTGTATCATTGACTTATAATTGAGTGGAACTATCTCCAAAATGCTGAAGAGCAATGATGTCAGTTTGAAGACTAAGGTGTGCCTAATTCAGGCCATTGTGTTCTCAGTCACCTACCATGCGTCAAAGAGCTGGACCATCCCTAAGGATGACAGGAAATTGATGCCTTTGAGTTGTGTTGGAGAAGAGAACTGAATATCCCATGAACTGCCAAAAGAAGAAACAGATACATGCCTTGGGAAAAATGCAGCCAGAGTGTTTCTTGGAGGCAAAGACGACAAAGCTTTGTCCTTCATACCTAGGACACATAGCTAGGTGAGACTACCCCTCAGAAAGAACATTGTGCTTGGGAAGATGGAGACTCAGCAAAGGAGAGGAAGACCCCCAACAAGATGGATTGATGTGGAGACTTCAGCAAAGGGGTCTGGTGTGTCAGACGCTATGAGGATGGTACAGGATAAGGCGGAGTTCAGGTTGGTTGTTCATAGGGTCGCTGTGAGCCATATTTGACAGCACCTAACAACAAGAAAAACATAGTGAACTCACAATGGCTTCTGAGTCAAACGGACCAAAGGTAGGATTCCGAATCTAATATTTTATCAGCCCAACTTTGGGATATTCACCTTTTGAAAACATTCTTCTTATTTGGGTGAAATCATACAGAGCAAATCAGTTTTTCACTCCATACCGTATTATAATCTGTGACACTGGCAGCCCCACCAGCCATGCAGTAGCACTCCTCCCACTTCATCCTTGTGCGTCCCATTTCCACATATCCATCTTTTCTATCCTTTCCCACTTTCTGAGCTTTATCCCTAACAAATGCTGCCCTTTGACCTTGTGTTGTTGATATTCTAGAGAGTGTCTCTTTGATATTATTATTATTCTGGTAATAATATTAGATAGGCTGAATATTGAGTCACAGGGGTGCCTTAAATAGAGTGAAATGAGGGTGGCTTGAAGATTGGCTACTTAATGTTATTTGTCTCCCTAGCCAGTTCTTTCCCTCCTATGTGTATATGCTATGGAGCTGCTTCATTCGTTCCTGAGAGGAACTCTGATTCTGAGAGATGAGCTGAAGTGGAAGTACTATTCTGTCCTGCTGATTTTTCAGGCCTCTTGGTTGAGAGGAAGCAGAAAGGGCAGTTCCAGCAATTTGCGCTGATTGACGGCTGTTCTTGTGGTCTGTCAAGTACACTTTCTTTCCATTCACTAGCAGCCCAGGTTCCTCAAGAAGTTGGATGGTGAAGAGATTGAGATAGTTAACAGTTTTACTTTGCTTGGCTCCACAGTCAACACTCTTGGTAATAGCAGCCAGGAAATCAAGAGACGGATTGCATTGGGAAAGTCAGCTGTGAGGGACCTCTCAAGAGTACTGAAGAGCAACAACATCTGGCTGGAGACTAAGGTGCACCTGATCCAGGCTATAGTCTTTGCAATTACGTGCTATGCATTGGAGAGTTGGAAAGTTACTAGGGATGATAGAAAGAGAATTGATGCGTTTGAGCTGTGGTGTTGGAGAAGTGTATTGAATATTCCATGGACCGCTAGGAGAACATACAGGTTCATCCTGGAAAGGGTGAAGCCGGAGTGCTCCTTGGAGTCAAGGATTCTGAAGCTTTGTCTGACATACTCTGGGCATGTTGCAAGGAGGGCACTGGTCCTTGGAGAGGGACATCATGTTTGGCAGAGTGGAGGGGCGGTGTAGGAGAGGAAGACCCTCGATGACATGGATCGATTCTGTGACTGGAGTGGTGCGAATAAATGCGTTTGAGATGGCTAGGTTGGCACAGGCTAGAATAGCATTTAGGGTTCTTGTACATAGGGTTGCTATGAGTCACAGGTGACTCGATGGCACATAACAACAACAACAACTATATCTATCTATCTATCATCTATCTCAAGCAAACATATTTATTGTATAGATCCTTTCCCTTGCCCAAATTTACCTATTTATTTTACTCCCATTTCCCTCTCCTTTCACACCTGTTAACCCTCCAAGGCTGAGTCTGTCTTTGTGTAAACCTTTCCTCCTTGCCTCAGTATTTTTGGTTAGTGACCTTAGACCATAACTGCCCTTTGTGACTGACTGACATTGCCCAGAGTTCCTAGTTTAAATCCATCGCTGTTGTACAATGTTTCACAGACTCTGGATCCTTTTTAGTGGTGTGTGGTTCTCCACTGTGTGAAAACACTGTAGCTCTTCAGCCATTCATCCAACGATGCACGTTTGAATTGTTTCCATCTCTTCGGTATTGTGAATAATGTTGTGGTAAACATAGGTGTGCATATATCTGTGTTTCAACTCTGATTTTTTTTCCGTTTATGGGTCAAATGGTATTTCTGTTTTCAACTTTTTAAGCAAGGGCCAAATTGTTTTCCATACTGATTGTAAGGTAAAGGCAAAATATATTAAGTGAATGATCAGACATTGCGGATATTGTAATCAGCAAAACGAAACAAAGTATGTCTAAAATATTGAATGAAAACCCAAAGTGCTTTATAAACTTGCCTTCAAACCACAATAAAAGCTGTTTTAGTGGGAATGGCTGGCTGAACTTTTTGAGGCTCTGTCCATTTTCCATGAGCTAAAGTCCTGTCTGCCTTTTTTTTCTAACAGCATTGTGTAACAGGGTTGCTCTACAGAGGTAACTTGTGGTTGCTGTGATCCTAAACACTGTGACACTGATGTGTCAAAGGGTCACCCATGGTGGACAGTGTTTAGTGGAGCTCCCCAATTAAAACAAGCTTGGAAGCAGGAGTGGCATCCACTTCCGAAACAGCTTGCCTTCAGAAACTCTATGAACTTGGAGAAATGATGGAAGTTATACAAGTGTTCAGGTCTTTCGTTCGTTCATAGGGTCACTATGAGTCATTTTGACTAGACGTCACTTAACACCAACAATTTATTTTGTTTTGTATGTTGTGTACCATCAAATTGGATCTGACTGGTACAGGAGGAGATTGCCCCACCTTCTCTAGTAGAGCATCTGGTGGATTTGAACCACACACCTCTGGGATTGCAGTGCAGCTTCTTGCCACTAGGCCACCAGAGCTCCCTAAAAGTTGTTTTAAATATTAAAGAGCAGACAAGCATTCAGAATACGCCACAGAGTAAAGTGGACAGGGGTAGGGGAGAGGAATCGTAGAACAGTTAAAGAATACAAAGACAAAAACAAAACCAAACGCAGAGAAAAAAACACAAAACAGAAAAAAAAGAAAAACAAAATCTCTATAAAAGCTCACAAAAAAATCAAAAAAAAAAAAAATACCCCATACACACAGGGGGAAAAAAAACCCCACCAACAAAACCCACAATATTAAAGAGCAGTTCGTTCCTGCCTTGTTTACCTGTTTGTATGTTTTTTAGGGGCCTGCTGGACAACCAGGAGAGAAGGGACCCATGGTGAGATGTGCCTTATATGAAGGGTGGGCTTCTGGGGGAGGGATTCCAGCGGAAGAAACACAATTCTAAATGAAAGGACTCTAAATGGGGCATGTAGTAATTGGTAGTTTGGTCTGTGTTTTTCTGTATCTATTTTCAACAACACAATATAAAGTGTAACAAAACAAATTAGAAAGTATAAGGCCTAAAAACAAAGTAGTTTCTGAAAATTCCTGATTTTAAACTGTGTGAACTCTGTAAAATATGAGATTGCGTTACGAGATGCTAGAGTAAGAAGGTGGTGGTGGTGTTATCTACTTAATGTGCCCATTTTATAGTTGGATAAACGGAGGCTGGCTTTGCTTTTTGACTCCTCTCTATCCCAGAAGAGGACCATGGTTGAATGAACTCAGTCAGACAGCCATCAGAAAAAAATGTTATGTGTCTTGCCTTCTCCAGCCCTTGCTAGAAGGTGATGAGTAAATGAGAGATGGACATTCAGTCTGTAGGCTGGGCATGGGGCCATTCAGTGTCACTGTGGACATCAGATGGTGTAACTATGCTAAATAACAGAAGAGTTTACTGTAAGTGGCTGCCCTTATGAGGCCCGGAGACAGTGATGCCGGCACGCTTCATCTGTCGCACCTCTCAGAGTGGTGGGCGCTGGCAGTATTTTCTCAGACAGCATGTTCTCATTTTGTGTCTCTATGTCATATTTTGGTCATTCTCAGAGCATTTAAAATGTTTTCATCATGTTATACACACTTAGGGAGCTCTAGTGGTCTTGTGGTGAGAAACTGTGCCTCAGTCTCAAAGGCACATAGTTCAAATCCACCAGCTGCTCCGCGGGAGAAAGATGGGCCGTCCCCTCCCCTGCTGACTTTTTAACTGCCTTTGAAAACCTGAGGGAGGGTCAGCTGTGGGTCAGTTCTGACTTGGTAGCACATAAAGATAACAACAACACCAGCGTGCATGCTTCGGGAGCTCTGCTGGCCTGTGCGTAAGGAATTCATTGCACGGCCAACCCAAAGGCGGGTGGTCAGACTCCAGCAGCTGACCACCCCTTGGGAGGATGGTGGAGAGTCCCATGAGATTTGGAAAACTCCCTGGAGGCTCAGCTGTGAGTCAACAGCCATGAGATGACGATGCACACTTAAAAGATAAAGCTAAAAGCTCAAACTCACAGCTTTGGAATCCGTTATGGTTCCTAGTAGCCGTTGCTTGGGTTTCTGAGCTGGAAGAACTGGTGCAAAGCCACAGGTGTATTTGCACCCTGCCCACTCTGTTGTGAGGTCTAGAACAGAAGCCACAGTATCTCCAGGTCTGCCTGGGTGGTCTTGTGAGGACCAGGGATGGTGACAGGTACACGTGTGCCTGTCAAGAGAATGTGGGTCCCGCCAGCTCATCCCACTGGAGGGGGTGCTGTCATCAAAACACACCTGATGTTAGGTGCAGCTGATGAACAGCCAGCCTGAACCAGCCCCAGCCTGTGCCATCCTCACCGTCTCTGCCACACTAGAGCCCTTTGCTCGAGTCACCATGTCGAAACGTACCTTAGACAGGTGATATTATCTCGAATTCTGCTCATTCGTGCCCTCATTGACATAAGGAGGGCAGGGACTTTCACACCTGCTCAAAGCAGGTCAGAGATGGGCCTGCCATGTCAGAAGAAGTTGCGAGCAGATTCCAACAGGCAGGCTGAGTAGAGGGCCCCATGTGAAGGGGAGATCGGGCTCACCATGACCCCAGTCTGACTCAGGAGAAATGTCCCAGGAAGGAAATCCAGAAAGAGAGGCCCCTGTGCCCTTTCCAGGTGTCATTTCCCTGGGATTGGGAGGGACTTTCTTGCCGAACCTGCTGGCATCAATTCCGATTCAGTGACTGTGTGTGTGACACGGAGCACACAGCTTGGTGGGTTTTGTGTTGACGTGTCCAGGATTTCAAAGATCCTGGCTATCCGTGGGACACGGTAGGGGCGCTGAATCCATGCCAGGCCTGGCCGTCCTGTGGGGGTGCCCCTGCACACTGCCCATGGGCCAGGAAGGAGCTTGTGGGGGGACTTAGTGCCTCCGCCCTATGCAGTGAGATGGACTAGCCCCGAGCAGGTGCTCTGAGCCTTTCACACACGGTCCTTGTAGCTATAGGGCTGCTCCACAAGCAGAGACAGTGAGTCCCCACGTCCCCTTACGCCTTGGGGTGTCTTCTGTTCTTCTCTCCAGGGATCTCGAGGTTTACCTGGCTTCCCAGGGCCCCAGGGACCAGCTGGCCAGGACGTAAGTACAGAGACTGCATGGCACTGTGGGTTTCCTTGGACTCAGCCCCTCCCAGTGAGAATGGTCACCCCAGGACCCCTGGAGCCTGGGACTGCCTTTAATGCTCAGTAGGAAATGCTCCAAAACCCCCAGGCTGAGCGCCGGACACCGTCCATCCTTTACTGTTTTCTGCCCACATCTGTCTGTTTGCTTGTTTGTTCAGCTGCCTGGCTGTTTTGTTTGTGGTCCGTGATTCCGTGTTGGCCTGTGCCATTTCTGATGCTTGTGGGATCTCTTGGGCTCGTGGAGTAAGCTTCCGAGTATCCCAGGCCTGCTTCCTGGTTTATGTCAGTCAGTTCAGCTCAGGTCAGGTGTCACCTCTCCCTGCCCTTGCTCCTCTCCCTTCCGGAAGTGTGTCTGTCTCTGGGCAGTTAGACTTCTCTTAGGCTGACTCGGGAGATGTCATTTCCTGCCTTAGAACAAAGCTAATCATCCCCAGGCTTTTGCTCAGGTCGATCTGAGCTCCGGGAAGGTGAAGACCACAGTTAATGCTCCTGAAGACGCTGCTTCCCAGCACAGACCGGTGTCTAGGACTGTACGCTTTCTTCTGCCGTAGGGGGTAGATGGATGGCAACTGTGAGCTCTTTCGGTACAGGTGTACCCGACGCCAGTGACAGTGGTATTTACTGTTAGACATGGCGCTCCCCAGCACTCCAGGTCCTTGTGCGCAGAAGCAGTGAATTACCTTCCCCGCCCTTGCTTTAGACTTTATTTACTTTTGAGAATGGAGCTCTTTTCCTGTTCCTGTCTCCAGATACTAAAACTTTTCTGCCTGCTCTCAGTGTTACTGTCTTGCAGCCAGTCCCATAGAAACACTTTTATCCTTTTCAAAGACAATCCTGCCTATTTGGAAAAGGATAATGTGTGTTTAAAACAGGTGTGTAAGGATGTTCAACGGAGTGTACTCTGTGTGTGTGTGTGTGTGTGTGTGTGTGTGTGTTCATTCTGTATGCGGGAGTGGTTTTGGCTTTTGTGTTTTGGATACCAGTTATTATTGGTGGAGCTGAGTGTTTTAAATCATGGAATGTTTCCTAGGAAGCGCCTTGGTCTAGCTGCGTGGAGACGTCTACATGGCTGGGTGGCTTTTCCCCTGAACTATGGTGGGCAGATAGAGGTCAGGTTGGGTCGAGTGGACCTGCATCTCGTGCCAGCAAAGTTAACCTCCTCTCTCTCTCTCTCTCTTCTTTCTCAGGGCATACCGGGGAATCCAGGAGAAAGGGGTCCCCCTGGCAAACCAGTACGTCATTTTACTTTTCTGGGTGAATACTGAGCATCAGTCAGGACTCTGGCAAGAACTAAAAAGCAACTCAGACAGGTTGAGGGACAGACTGAGGGGGCTGTGTTTGAGAGGTGGGTGGGGAGCTAATGCAGCGGGCTGAGATGTCCAGAATGACACCACCCTGGCACTGAGGGAGCAAGGGGAGGTACTCAGCACTACAGAGAACTAAATGAAGGAGGAGGGGCTGCCGGCAGGCTCCTGGGAACCGTCATTGTGTGTTCCAAGCCACTGTCAGTGTTCTCACACTGGAGCAAGAGGGAGCAGCAGACAGCCCCTCCCACCTCAGTCTCCCTGCTTCCCCTCTGCCCACCGTGCCTCCTGTTGGTTTGACTCACGCCCGGGGCAGTGAGCAACCAGCCAGTGATGTAACCTGAGGGTCCTGGGGCCTAGAGCAGGCCAGAAGGGACACCACGCAGAACAAGGGCAATGGCCGCACCCTCTGAGCTCCAGCCTCCCGCACCCACCTGTGCCCTCTCCACGGCCCCCAGCGTGGTGGCAGCAACCCTGCTGTCCTCTCCCAGGGAGCAGTGTGCATGCTATGGCCCACTGGGCAGGGTGTGCTGACCTGAGAGCTTGTGGCTGGTCCCTGGTTCCTACAGACCCCTACCTGGGTCATCAGGGAGACTCTCTGAGGCCAAGGTCAAGGAGGTCCAAAAGGACCAGCCAACTCATCAGGCCATGGAAACCATGGAAAGAGGCTGGGAAGGTGGCCTGCAGACGTGGGCTGAGAGAAGGTCAGGGGAGGTGGCCTGGTCTGTTTCACCTGTGGTGAGACAGCAGGCTGTGCAGGTGCTGGAGAGGTGAGTCATGTAAACATGGAGGAGGAGGAGGCAGCAGGGAATCCAGGACCCCCAAGAGAGAAGCTGTTGTCAGGATTGAGGAGCCTAGACGCTCACCTGGGCAGAGGCTGCAGCTCGGGATGCTTTGAGGGGCTGCGGGTCTCCTGTGCCCATGTGACCTGGTCCACCGAGGACCCCTGGCACACAGACCCCTGTGGGTTGCGAGGTCTCCCCGCCTGTTCTTGTGGTTCAGGCACCACTGAGGCCTGAGCAGAGCAGCGGATCTGTCCAGGCCATCCCGAAGCCTGTCACTGAAGATGCCCAGTGTGGCCAGTGGGAACTGGTGGTGACCAGGGCAACTTGACCCTCCGTAGCCCCTTTGGCATCAGCTGACACAGTAGCTGGCCCAGAAGGCAGCTTCCTGCCTCTGAGGTGGATGCATGGAGAGGCTTCCGACCTGACTCCCAGTGAGAGTTCAGGATTTATGTGCCAGATCTAGACCTCCCCACCTCCCAGTGAAGAGCATTCAGTCAACAGAGTTCAGGTGACAGTGTGACAGGGGCCTCCCAGCTGGTCACTAGCAGAACAGAGGTGATGAGAGGGAGGGAGAGGGGAGCGGACAGTTGACCTACTGCCTTTATGTTGACTGGCCTCCCTCTGAGAATGTCCGGAGCATGGCCCAGTGGCTGTCAGCGTCTTTCTAGTCATCTCTTGTGTGGAGGGTCTCCCAGGCTGCGTTCAGGCTCTGCTTCACGGAACGCTGAGAAGATATCACTAGTACTGGTTGCAGTTAATTCAGTGAAAAGGTATGGACTGAAGGGAGTTGATGGACTGAGATGGTGTCCAGAAGAGCCCTGGCCAGTGCTTCTGATGACCTTTTTACAGGCAGCACGCCATTCCAGCAGCAACAATGTGTGACATCTGGGGTCCTCACCCGAGCTTTAGCACCCAAAGTGTGATGTCTGGGATCTTGTCCTGAGCCTTGGCACCCGTGGTCGTGGTGGGTCTGTGGTGGGACTGTAGAACACTGCAGTCCGCAGTCCCTCCAGAGCACAAACTGATTCTAGGCGCCCTGCAGCCCTCACTTTGATCATACTGTGTTCATACTCTTGGTAGCCCAACCCAAGCCCCCGTAAACAGAGGTAGGTGTCTTCAGGAAGCAACGTCTCTCAAGGGTTTAGATGGTCCCTCTCCGAGCTGGGAAGGGAACAGTCTTGTGTTTGGGATGTGCAGACCCGCTTGGTACATCCTTTCCTGCACTGCTTACACCAAGAGAAGGAGAGGAAGATCCCCGCCATGCCCTCTCCTCCTGGGCACAGAGTCCCTCTCCCGGAATCCACCGACTCAGATAGGCTCTTTAGGAGCAGGATCTGCAGAGGGCTTTCCGATGAGGCACCAGGTCCTGGGCTCCATCCCACAGGAAGCTCAGAAGCAGGAGTTGAGCAGGATTGTCAGCCCTTGTGCTCATAGCAGCCTGTCACTGGCCATGGGAGGTGGCCACCAGGGGTAGCAGAGAACCCCTCCTTCCAGTTTCCATGGAGAAGAGAAATCAAGGCAGGGTGTTATGTCTTCTAAGACCTCATCTCTTCCCAGACATTAAACCCAGTGCACGACCTGCTATGTATCCCCGAAAGGGATGAGATGGTGGTCTGCCATCCCCCTCCCCCCGTGTTCACCTCCTTGAGGTCACTGTCCCCGTATAGACCTGTTCCTGGCAATCTCCATAAGATCTTTAGACTATACAGAGTCAGTTTGGAAGAAGAGACTTGAGCTTCAAGGCCATGTCATTCTGAGATTGAAAAGCCAGTCCTTGTTCTCTCTCTCCCCAAGTAGCTGGCGCCCAGGCACCCTCTAGTTCATGGAGCTCCCTCGATAACAGTAAAGGCACAAATGGTGGCTAAAGAGTGTCCCAGATGCATTCCATCGACCCAGCGCTGACTGGTCGCTCGCCCTCTGACAGCTTTCACGAGTGTCCCAGGTAGTGTAGGTACATCACCTTTGAGCCAGCACTGCCCCGTAACTCGCCCTCCGACAGCCGTCACAAGCTGTAAATGACACTGGAGGAGATTGTCCTCTCTCTCTCAGGAAGCAACTGGTAGAGCTCAACTGTGTGTCTTTGGGTTGGTGGCATGGTCCCTACCACAGTGCCACCAGAGCTCCTCAAATGCAAAGCCAACAGTATAAAAATGCCCTAATCTGAACACTTACAGAGCTTTCATTATTAGTAACTTCTCAAGGATGAAATATGAAGTTTTAAAATTAAAACCATTTCCACTATCTAAATGAAAGCTTGCATATATTTGTATTACAATAGCTGTTCTTCAGAATGTCTCAGGGTCTCAGCCCTGAATTCTCATTACAGCACTAGGAGTTCTTCCATGCTGCTTAATCTTGAGCTAATGTAGTCTCTATCTCTTTCTGGACTCCCACATCATTTGCAGTAGCTACAATGGTTGAGCAAATATTGAAACTATCAATAGAACAGTTAAAAACACGTCTTCAATGCCCCTGTGATTGGCCTGGGCAGGTTGATGTTACCTGTTCACATGACTTCTGTTCCCCACAAGACTTGATAGAAGCTAAATGTGGGAGAAAAGGTCCAGGGAAACTGAAATAGACTGGAACATTGTCTTGTTTTAAGCTACCCAAGGTGCCAGCCTAGATTCATAATTCATAAACGTTAACTCAGAAGAAACCACTCATAGTAAGTTTCATTGTGGACACAGGCTTCCCTTTTTTCTGGAGAAAAATCTAGAGCCTACACTCTCGATTCTCCAAGTTACCAGATAGCATCCCAGTCTCCAATCCCCCCACCCCCCGTCCCTCCTTCCCTCTAGACTCAGCCGTTTTATCCTATCTTCCTTCTTGGCCTGTGCCCTTGCATCCCAACATGACCTCAGCTTCCAACTCAATCCTAACAGGATACACTGAAACTCACGGTGGCCTTGACTGCAGGTTGGCACCTACTGTCAGCGGCTTTGTTACTGCTCTTGACTTCTGAAATCCCCTTTCCAAATGGAGAGACTTTTAATCCTTAATGACAGCTGAGGTTTGAAATAGGAAACCACCTAAGATAACAGAAGATGTTGGACAGCATTCATACAGGCCTGTGAATGGCTGTAGAGATAGCAGTTCCCCATCTGGGAAATCCACGGCAGCCCAGTTTGCAGCCAGCTGCCCTTTTTAGAGCAGTATCCAAATACTACATCTTGGGAGGGGTGGGGGTGGAGAAAAGACCATGAGGAAGAGAAGAGGGGCCAGTGAGGGAGAAGGGGCCAGTGAGGGAGATAGGACCAGGAGGGCCCAGCATTGGTCAGGGGCAGCTGTCTTTGTGGCTCCCTGTTCGGCACGTCAGTGGACTGATTCTTGGTCCACGTACAGCACATGGGAAACTGGTGACGTCTCACACTCTGGAGGCCTCTCAGTTCTGCAGATGCCTGAGATACAGGGTGTGTGTGTGTGTGTGTATGTATGCATTTATTTCTCTTTTACTTCAACAGGGTGCCTCTCCGCTGTTGTCTCCAGAGGACATAAAGCTGTTGGTTAAGGTAAAAGCCTGAAATCAATTTGCATGCATTCCACTGGTGACGGGAGATTACACATCTCCATAGTAAACTGTGTTTGGCCTGTACATCTATATAGTGGTATTAACAGTGGAAGCAGAATGCCCTGAGAACTCACCCTGTGACTGGCGGTGTACTAAATCCACACCACCCAGTGTGGCAGCCACTGGCCGCGTTGGACAATGTAAAGTGATTGCGTTCCAGTGCAATTCAAAGTTCAGGTCCTTGAGGACATGAAATGCATGACTGATGGCCTCATGAACCTCCTTTGCCGTGAGAACAGAAGCCCGAACGTCAGTCGTTTGTACCCACTCAGAGGCACCCCCTCTGAAAGACCCGGCGATCTATGGTCACAAGCCCAGTCACAGAAAATCCCATGGAGCGGAGTTCTTCCCGGGCACAGACGGGTCTCAGTGAGTCAGAGTGACTCAACAGGACACAGTAACAATGCCGGAGCCTCTGTGAGGTGGACAGGGTCCGGCACACTGGCCTTCGTGGAATAGCCACTCCCTCTGCTCTTATGTCTTAAGAACAACACTTGGGTGAAGTCAGAAAATACTGGACACAGCGTGAAACCAAGAAAGGAGATGGGGAAAATAAAGGAAAACCCCCTCGAGAGTGAGGACGTTTAACCTCCTGGCAATATGTGGTGGGGAGTCACAGCTGAGTGAACAATGAGTAGTGCACAATCTTCACTGATTTTATTGACAAGAGAGAGTATTTTTCTATGATCAAGGGCATGTCAAGAAATCACTATCTATTGATCCAAACTCTTGTTTATGACATACTTTTATTAACCTCCATCATTTTCCATCACCTCCTGCTCTGGGAAGAAGCACATTTGCACCATCCCCTCTCCCGAGAGGAATTCAATCCCAAAAACTCTTTGCTAGGACAATAATCAGAGTACTGAGTGAGGAGAAGGTTCGAATCCTGCCCGTCTTGGTCTCGGCACTCAGATAAATTGTTTTTCCTTTTGCTGAAGGGCAGACCTGTGTACATCGGAGCACCTTGGAAGCCCAGAAGGCTTGGGGACACTTTTGTTCATTCAGGGTACCAGGAGGCCTCCGGGTCCCACTGAGAGGCACTCTGTCTGTGAAGCTGGTAGCAGCAGCAGCCTGGGGAGGCAGGCTGGCCCCGTGCGCGGCCCATGATCTTAGCTCCATGCTTCGTGCAGTCGGCTGCTGGCACCTGGATATTGCAGGTTAAAGGCTGCTGCTCTGGGCCAGGTTTTTGCAGCAGGAGCCTCTCCTGCTGAGGGGGCACTTTTATTTGCAGGAGATTTACCTCTGCCCCGGAGAGTTCATAGCCTCCGATAGCTCATTCTGATTGAACTACCTGGGTGGAATGTTCTTCCCAGTGTTCCTGTGAAATGAACTTGTGTAGCTGGATCTTTGCCCAGGAAGGTCGTCCTTGGGACATCTCTGTGGGACAACATCCCTGCGTGAGCGTGACTTCCTGGAAGCCTCACAGTCAGTGCTTCTGCTGCTGTCTGCACTTTACGGATGAGGCGTGCTGAGCACAGGTGGATAAGGGCTTGCTGATGGGCTCAGGGGCACATAGTGACGGAGCCAGATAGCCTCTTGTGGCCCACTCCAATGGCCTGTGCCTGAACCTTCCAGTCACCAGCCTGACCTCTGGGAGAGGTTGACGTCCTGCCAGCTGGGTGAAGGGGTGCAGACAGCCAGTGAGCTCCCCAGCCGTGAGCAGAGGTGTTGGAATACAGGCTGCACGCTTCTTCGGCAGGAATACTGTAGTGAGATCTTGGCATATGACAAAGAGGGTCACTAGGTGGTAGAAACAGGTAAGCACTCAGTTGCTAGTTGAAAGGTTAATAGTTTGAACCCACTCAGAGCCACTGGGGGAGAGAGGCTTCTGACAGGTCACAGCTTTGAAAATGTGAGGCTGTGCTGTGCTGCATCCCTGGGGTCACCGTGAGGCAGGCTGACTTAATGCCATGGCCTGGTGGATAGAAAGTGATGCTACCAAGCCAAAGGTGGGTGATTATAATCTGCGTCCCTCAGGCCTGGTTTTAATTGGTTTTGGTCAAACATTCTTCTAGGTAGTATAGCACTGGTCTGTCCATTTGCTGAACAAAGGTAACTCGAGGTTGTTGTGATGCTAAACACTGTGACACTGATGTGAAAATGCGATTATGGTTACCATGGTGGACAGTGTTTGGTGGAGCTCCCTGATTAAAACAAGCGTGGAAGCAGGAGTGGCATCCACTTCCGAAATAGATTGACTCTGGAAATCCTGTAAACTTGGAGAATGAAGAAAGTTATACAAGTGTTCAGGTCTTTCATTCATATGGTTACTATGAATCGTCTACAGCTCAACGACACTTAAAACAACAATAATAACACAGGGGCCTCTCTAAATTATGGAGGAGCAATAATGTCAATTTGAAGACTAAGGTGTGCCTGACTCATGCCATGGTCTTTACAATCACTTCCTGTGCATCTGAGAGCTGGGCAGTGACTAAGGACGACAGAAGAAGCATTGTGCTGGAGAAGAGCATTGAACATCCCATGGACTGCAAAGAGAGCAAACATTTATATCTCAGAAAAGGTACAGCCAGAATCCTTCATGGGGGCAAAGATGATAAAGCTTTGTCTTACATACATTGGACATGCTGTTAGGAGATGCTATTCCTTGGAAAATGCCATCATGCTTGGAAAAGTGGAGGAGCAGTGAGAGAGAGGAAGACCTTCAACATAATGGATTGACACAGTGACTGCCTCAGTGGGCTTAACCGTGTCCGAGATTGTGAGGATGACACAGGATAGGACAGGATTCAGATCTGTTGTTCTTAGGGTCACTATGGGTCATACTCGGCTTGAGGGCATCTAGAAACAACAGCAGCCCAGCAGCGATGGAGGCTGTGGAGTTGCCCAGAGCCCGCTTCTGCTCCGGGGCAGCAGCACAGCCTTTCTTCCGGAGTAGAGGCTGCTGCATTCCTCTTTGGAGCCCGTATCTGGTCCAGCACACCACTCCGAATATGACACGGTGAACTGCATTTGCTGAAAATAGCACTGATTACAGAGAGAGGCTGGGACCACAGAGATGGACCGCTCACAGATCAGCCACGAGGGACCCTGCGAGATGCTGAGTGCTTGGCGTGAGTGATTGCCTCTGCCTTTCATGATGGTTTCCTGAATCAGGAGATGGTCCTTACTTAGAGGTAAACACCTGCTCTTGAATGGATTAAGTCACTTGCTTGAGAGGACCCGGTAAACTAAGGAGTTCGGAACTAGTGTCAATGAACATTGTATTGAACTGGGCAAGAGACCTTTTTAAATTTTTTTTTAACTTTCAACAAAAATGTTCTTTATATACACAATGAATGATAGTTTTCTCAATTCTCTACTCACTAGCAAACTATTAACTGTATTCATTGAACAAGTTATCAGTGCCAAAATATACTTTACTCCCTGTCAAAATCCAGGCACTCTAACTTAGAGACAGAAAGTGCTTGGGTCCTGAAGAGAAAGGCCAAATACATTCTCAGTCATTAAAGGGGATGGATGGTTTGGGGGAATTAGATCCCTGGGCACCATCACCTTTCCCTTAAGGTGTAGAGGAGTTTTACAGTATTGTTTTTCTAAAATATGAAAATATGATAAAGAATATGAGGATTTTACACTTTTATATATTAAGCAGGTTTTCAATGTTCCTGAATTGACAAAAAGGTGGAAAGGTGTGGATCAGGGTGAGGGGAGAGAGTAGGGTGAGACATAGTACAGGACGGTGGAGAAAAAAAACAGAGGGGGAAATCGTGCCTTGAGATTATGCAGTTCAGAACTCATGGAACGAAGACTGAAAAGGTGGTCACAAATCTAGCTGATGAACTACTAGTGAAAGCCTGGGATTTACACCTTCCAGGGGTGAAGCGAAATCCTAAAGCTGTTAAGTGGCCGGCAACAAAGTACATGTGAGACTGTCACTTATCTTGTAAGAAGATGACTTCGGCACCTTGCTTGGGTGGTTATACTCTGTAATGTGAGTGTGAAAACATAGATGTCCAGAGCACAGCCACTGAAGCGAGTCACACACCTACATGTCACACAGAAGGGTTGTAAGCCACCTGAGGAGACCACACGTTTCACCTTCCTCCTCCAGCGTTTTGGCTGTCTCCTAAATCGAAACCATCTCGTCATATCGCCAAACCTCGTTCAATCAAACCCAGGCTCACCCTGATCAACCCACATTCCCCCTGAGCCTCGACTGACTGATCAGCAGGGGCAATGGAAGGATTCCCGTGTTTTAGAGATTAGGGGAGGGGAAGATGGAGGAACCAGTGATCCAAAACTGCCTGACCAAACACATAACTGAACACGTGAGATGAAGCCGGCTAATTTCCATTAACTGTTCTGAATCCCTCTTGTCATAAAGTTACAACCTTCAGACTGATTGCATGCTTTGGAATACGTACAGCCAGAGAGCTCCTCAAGACGTTCAGACAAAGAAGAAGTGAGGCTTCATCTCACTTGCTGTAGACAAGCAATCTGAAAGGCCCAGACCCTAGAGAAAGACATCACGCTTGGTGACGCACTCAGTCATTGCTGAGGGTTGGAGCTGACAGTAGCTGACCCTCCAGCAGGTTCTCAGAACTAGAAATGGACAAGGGGAACGACCATCTTTCTCCTATGGAGCTGCTGGGAGATGTGAACCACCAGAGAGGCGTGGAGTTGAGGTTAGCAGTATGACTTTCTGTGGATGAACTTTTCCCAACGGGGTGAAAAGAAAATCTACTGACTGGAAACAAACATTTGGCAATGCCAGCTCAGTCAAGAGTCACATAACAAAAGTTTACAGAATACTCCTGGGCCTCCACAAGAAAAAGACTGATAACCCAATCACAAAATGGGCAAAAGAGATGGAAAGAATTTTTACAGAGGCAGGTGACGTCGATGGCCAACAGACACATGAAGAAAGGCTCAAAATCATGGCAATAAGAGAGATGCAAATGAAAACCACAATGAGGTACCATCTCACACCAGTAGCAAAATTTTATAGGACAGCAAGTAATAAATGTTGGAGATGAGGAGAGATAGAACTTTTATCAATTTTTGATGGGAATGTACAATGGTGCAGCCATTCTGGAAAGCAGTTTGGCATTTCCTCAAAAAGCTGAACATAGAAATTCCATATGACTCAGCTATTCCACTGTTTGGACTATACACTGAGAAAATGAGAACTGAGGCACAAATGGGGACGTGTACACTAATGTTCATAGCAGCGTTATTCTATTCACCATCGCAAGAACATGGAAACGGCCCAGATGTCTAATCACAATCGAATGGATTGAGAAGTTATGTTACATTCATACAATGGAATACTATGCAGCATGCAGGAGCAATGATTTTGTAAATTACTACCTAACGTGGGAAGGACTGGACAGCATTATGCTGAGTGAACTAACTCAGTCCCGAAAGGACAAATCCTGTCTAAAACCATTATTGTAGAATGAGCATGAGGATCAGGGGAGGGGGCGGAATGTGGGAGCATCGGTGTGAGGATGGGCCGGGGAAGGGGGAGATTAATCATGGGGTCTCACAATTTGATGGATGAGAGTTGTTAGGGAAATGAGAAAGGAGCTGGTGTGGAAAACAATGTATTTGAATTTTGTAAATAAACTTATAATAAAAGAAAAATTCCTATGGATGCCACCAGAGCTCCCCATAAAGCTCCCCGTAAAGTCAAGGAGTCAGAGAAAAAGAGGGGGCCCTTCAATGAAATGGACCGGGCGGCTCCTTGGAGGCAAGGATTCTGGGGCTTCGTCTGACATGTTGTAAGGAGGGACAGGTCCTTGGAGAGGGACACCATGCTTGGGAGGGTGGAGGGACAACGCAGGAGGGGAAGGCCCTCTATCAGGTGAACTGATTCAGTGACTGGGGTAATCGGGATGGGTGTGTTGCAGGCAGTGAGATTGGCACAGGACAGAGCAGGGTTTAGGGCTGTTGTACATAGGGTCGCTATGAGTCACAAATGACTTGACGGCACGTAACAACAACAACAACAACAACATACCTATATTGTGAGGGTGGCCCTGGCAGGACAGTGTTGCTCTCTGTCTGCACGTGGGCCTACTGTGTGTGAGGGAAACGTGATGGCCCCGAACGACGACAAGGTTGCAGAACAGGAGCATCTGATCTACAAACGAGGCAGCCCGTTCAGGGAGGAAATCACATGTAGCTGCTTAAATTCATCTCACCAGCAGCAGGCGCTGCGTCTTCCCTTTTGCATGATCTCATCGATTCTCATGAGTCAGCCACACAGCCCAGCATTTAGCACGTTCTAGCTCATCCCCCCTGACACTCCAGAACAGGAGTCTAATCACCTTTTCAACCACCCAGTTATACAAGTTGACACAAGGCAGCTGAAGGTCAAGTGGCTGGCTGGGTTTCCCGTGCATTCGTTTGTTGAGCTGTTCAACAGGATATTTGTTAGGAATTGGTCATCTCTGCCCTCTGAGAGCTCAGGTTTTCTTCATGGCTGATGGGGAAGAGCAAGTTAAAAACAGATCCTCTCAACAGTGAGGCAAGTGCTTCCCCAGTGGGAACCCCCAGGGTTTATGGGAACATAGGGCCTGTTCCAGGAAGGTGTGGAATGGGAGACTTTGCAAGGGTCTTTGGAGACTGGGTAAGAATCAGGCAAGTGAGTGGAGGGTTGTTGTTGTGAAAGAAAAATCTTGCTCCTGGAATTAGAGACAGGGTAGTGCTCAAACACCCTGAACTTGACCTCATTGCCATTTGGACTAGTACATCTTCCACCTGCTCCTGTGGACTGAACTCTGAAGCACCTAGAAGTTTGGTTATTTGGTGGCACGGATGGCGCTTGACCATGAACTCTTCAAGGCTACACACCCACGGTATTAGAAATTAGCACAGCACCAAGGGATAGATTGATTTTTGCTTTTTGAAGTGTAACTGTGACCCCATTGGCTCTACTAGACACATGTCTATACAGGAATAGATTCTTACAAGTATTTTCCAGTAAGGAAGCTGCTGAATAAATAAATTAGCTGGAACAGCTCAGTGTGTTGTGCTTTGTCTGTCTGTCTTAATGGGAGCTCTGGTGGTGGTGTTAAGTCATTTGACTGCTAATTAAATGGTTGGTGGGTCAGCTGCTTCATGGGAGGAAGATGAGGCATGCTTCTCTAAAGATTTGCAGCCTTGGGATCTCCACGGGGTAGTTTCTGTCCTGTCTGGTCACTGTGAGTCAGAATAGACTTGCTGGTAGACTTCGGGTTATCTATCTTGACACTCTCCTAAATTCCTTATCTGTATTATCCCATTTATTACAAAGGGGGACGAGAGCAAGGAGGAAGAGAAGATTAGGGAGAAGGGAAGACTTGTGGGAAGGGTCTAGAGGAAGCAACACAGAGAAAGGATGTATGAGGGGCGAGAGGGTGACCCCACTGCTCACTGCCCCTTGTTCATACAGCAGAGACTGCATGTTGCTGAGATGCGGGAAGCTGTGGCTCTGATTTTTAAAATACCAGCAGGGTCATCCACGGAGGGCAGATTTTTACAGTACTTCCAGATAAAGGCAAACCTAGAAGAAAGGCTGATCATGGACTTCTGAAAATCAGACAATGACAACTTTGTGGATCATGGCAACATTGCCCAGTGCAGTGCCAGAAAACGATACCCACAGTGAAAGGCACCAGCTGTACTGTGCAGCACCAGAAGGTGAACGAACACCTGAGGCAAGACACACAACTGCACAGTGGCTGCAGAAATGGTCTCCAGTATATGACTTTAAAGAGCTAAAGAGTACGGATATCACTTTAAAGATTAAGGTACAGCGAACACAAATCATGGTGTTTTCAGTTGTCTTATATGCATGTGAAATTTGGAGATTAATAACAATGCCTAAGGAAGGATTCATGCCTTTGGATTGTGGTGTTGGTGAAAATTTTTGAAGTTATCATGTACTAAGAAGTACAAACAAGGCTGTCTTGAAAGAAGTGAATTTCGAATGCTCTTTAGCAGTAAAGATGGTGAGGCTTTGCCTCGTCTGATTTGGGCAGGTTATCAGGAAGAGATAGTCCTTGGATCTGGACATACGTCCTGCTGAGGTTGAAAGTCAGAGAAGATGAAGATCTCAATGCAGTGGACTGACATGAATGAGGCCTGAGCAAGGGCTGGAGCACTGCAGTGACGGTGGGGATGGCATGGGCCTGGGCAGCGGTTCTCTTTGCTGTGCAGGTGGTGGTCATGATGAGTCTGAAAGGCCTGGGCAGCCCCTAACAACACAATAACAACAGCAACAACGGCAGCATTCCATTGGCTGTTAAGAGGCTGCGGCACTGGACAGTGCTTTTCTCTGCTGTCCACAGGGTGGTCGCGAGTCAGAGCTAACTCGGTGGCGACCAAAACCAGAATGGTCCAGGCAGCAAGTTTACTTGGTACACTGTGCTCTGGACCGTAAGACCTAGAGATGATACAGATAAATGAAAATCTTTGTTCTCCGAACTGAGAGGAATTTAAACTTGCTCCAGGGACAGCATTTGCCTGCCATGAAGAAGTAGAATGAGCTCGATTCCAGGAAATGTTTATTGGATGCCTGCTTGGACACTGAGAGGCGGCAGCATGGCCCAGGCCTGGCTTGGTGCCCCAGCAAGGACGCCCTGAGGACATGCACCTTCCTCTGCTCTGCTTCTCTGTGCAGACACCCTTTACTTAGGCACCATCAGGACAGAGACCTCAGGCCCCAGCTTTGTTTTGTCCCAAAGGACAGAGCCTGCTATTTTCAGCAGTACTAAATGTTCACACTCATTGGCACAAGGATTTTTTTACATCCTTTTCCTGGGCCATACCTCTACGGAAGCCAAAAATAGGGGGAGATGAGGTACTGATACAGACCTGCCAGGCTGAAATGAGGCTCTCAGTAAAATGAAAAGTTAGACACCAACGGGGCCTGTGTGAGGATTTGATCCACTCCTGTGTTTGCTGTAGTTGGATGGACTTCTCCATTCCAGAGACAGGGGTGTGGGTTCTCTCAGCTCTGCAACTGAGGGGTCATTTATATATATTCTCTCTCTTTCTCCCAGGATGTGTGCCATGACTGTCCTCCTGGCCCCCCAGGCCTCCCTGGTCTGCCAGGATTTAAGGGGGACAAAGGACTCCCTGGAAAGCAAGGGAGAGAAGGCACAGAAGGGAAAAAGGTAAGGAGAAAAGAGGCCACTTAGTCTTTACCAATGCAGTTAACATACCATGACACCATGCTGAGTGTCACTGCAGTCAACATACCATGACACCATGTTAGAGGGGCACTGTAGTCAACATGCCATGACACTATGCTGAGTGTCATTGCAGTCAACATACCATGGCACCATGCTGCACTGTCACTTAACATCTCACAATGCTGGAGATGCCAGCACTGCTCCTCCCCCCTCTCAAAGCATGAAGACTTTGAGGGGGTGAGACAGCCGAGGAGAACTGCTTGAGGAGATACAGTGGTGGAAGTGGTGAAAAATGGCAGGCTGGGTCTTCATCATTGCTTGTTGACTGGCATTCCAGTACATTTTGATGCTTAAAACACATTCCCCTCCCTTCCTTCTTTCCTTCCGCTCCCCTTCCCTTCACTATTCTTTCCCTTTTTTCTTCCTTTTTTTAAAAATCAACTTTTAAACATCTACTGTGTAGTAGGTACCAAGTTTACAGTCAAACTTCGTAGAATAATCTACCACCCACTCACCTACAGATCCATCCATCCATCCATCCATCCATCCATCCATCCATCCATCCATCCATCCATCTGCTCGTTTGTCCATCCATCTGCATGTTCATCCACCTGTCTGTCTGTTCATCCATCTGTCCAACCATCCATCAGTCTGTCTGTTCATCCATCTGTTCACCTGTTCATCCATCCATCCATCCCATCCATCCATCCATCCATCCATCCATCCATCCGCTCGTTTGCCTGTCCATCCATCTGCATGTCCATCCACCTGTCTGTCTGTTCATCCATCTGTCCATCCAACCATCCCTCCGTCTGTCTGTTCATCCATCCATCCATCCATCCATCCATCCACTGAGCATTGATTGAGATCTCATTTGCCTATTTACAGAGCATGTCAGGTGTGTATTTTGTGACCAGCATCCTGGCTCACTCAGGTAGTTCACTATGTTAGAGTTGAGGGGAGGTGGGAGAAAGATTTCAGTGCACACTTGAGATGTGACCTTTATTCTGATCTTCTGGTCTTTAGAAAGCACCTCCTCCCATTTCATGAGTGATCTCAGCATCTGCCCCACTGTGGTTTGTCCTTGATGGAAGACACAGGGTGTTTTCAGAGATTTACCCAAGATGCCTTTTGCCTGGGTTGACATAGTGACCTGCAGCAGTGGCTCAAGCACAGGGCAGAGAGGGAGGATGGTGAGGTTCAGGAGGTGCTTCACTCTGTCGCCCTGGGGCTGCGGGGAGTCGGAACCCACTCGGTGCCATTGGCACCCCGTTTCCTCAATCCCGTTCTTTTCAGATTCAAATCACAAAAAAATGCCATATATTTGTTGGCAGCATTTCTTGTGTCGTGATGTATGGGATAGTTCCCAGGCTTGTTGGAATCTGGTCCTGTGCCTCTTATCTCCTCCCACCTCTCCCTGACTTCACCCTGCTTGCTTTATTTGGGTGAGTGGGTTTGGGGTTTGACTCCAGGAGTCTTAATCCAAGAGATTCCTAGTGTTGCCAGAACATTTTGGCATTATTGCCTTGTTGAATGGTTCTCAGAGAGGCATCTCCAACTCACTGAGGGAGATTGTCAGAGAAAACATTTCCAGAACTCTCCACTGCAGGCTTTTTCCAGCAAATCATTGGAGAGAATCCTCAAGTGTATGTATTTTTAAAAACAGCTCACATAATCTGGATGTTTACAGTTGCTCACTAGTTAACTTCTAAAGAAGCTTTCCACCCAGTGCTCTTAGCTGTGCTGCATGTGTCTGAGCAGGACCTGGCGGGTGGCTGGCGATGGCACGCACATGCGCACAGTTTCTTCTAGAGCCAGGGAGTTCAGCCACACTTCGCTGACATACAGAGGTTCATTATCCATGTGTGGGAGGGCATGCACAAGGGGTGTGTGTGTGTGTGTGTGTGTGTGTGTCGGTGGGTGGTTATAATTTTCCCTTCTCTCTTCTTACTCTTATGCACGCACATGACTGTACGTCCACACATAGATACTCCAGACAACTGAATGTGGAGTTTTCTTTTAGAGTCACCTTCCCTTTTACTGTATGTCCTTCTCAATATCATCCAAACCTTCATTATCTCAGCAGTCAAATGACGGTCATTCTGTCTCATAAAGTTAGTGACATAAATGACATGACCTATATCAAATGACCCATTCTTTTATAAAATGTGCTTTGTCAATTTATTTCTTTTTTGTGTGTGTGAATGAATTTATTTGTTTCTCCACTTTCTTTTGCTTCTCGTCTGTTAGCCCTCTGTGGCTAGTTGCACCTGTGCACGTTTCTTAGCTCTTTATATTAGTGTCTTATACTGTACTTGTCCTTTTGTTACTGATTTATGTTACCAAGAATAATAGATTCTAGTTTTTCTATATTGTGGAGTATTTCACAAATTCTTGGTAAGTTTTTAATGCATAAGACTCCACTGTGTGAATACACCACAGTTTATTTATCCCCTTGTCTGTTGATGGACACTTGGGCTGTTTCCATCTCTTTAAAAATGCTTATCTTAAAAAATGCTTATCTTAGTACAAGTATAATATATCAAGTGCCAACCCAGTGACTTCCCTTTGCTTCTTGTGACAAATGCCTTTGTCTCAAGCCCACCCCAGGAGTGCTTCTGCCCCCGACTCCACTTTTTATTGATACATATTTTTCAATTTTTATTTTATATTTGTTTTCTTACATAGTTCATAAACACTGTGTTTCACACTATTTTTCATTCACATCATGTTTCATACAGTCATTCTCACTTATGTTGTATAAAATTAATCACCATTGTACTATATGCCCAGCATTACCTTGACATTAACATTTCCTTAACCCCTTCTCTCCACCCACCAAATTGTGCAATCCTGTGATTTCGCCCCTACCCATCCTCACACCTCTGCTCGCACCCATTCCCTCCTTGGATCTCCATACATGTCTTAATAGTTATCCTTCTATTTTTACCATAGTCGTCTTATGCAGTATTTGTCCTTATGAGACTGAGTTAGTTCACCCTGCATAATGTTCTCCAGTCTCTCTTAAGTTATGTAGTACTTTTTAAAATCATTGCTTCTGAGTGCTGCATAGTGTCTCACTGTATGAATATACCACAGTATATTTTTATTTTTTGTTGTAAAGAAATGGAAATGGTTTAGACTTTTTTTTTCTTAAAAAGCCAGCAAACCTCATTGCTTTTGAACCAGACCATTCCTGTCCCTCCTGCTTGTTTTCAGAGGCTGTGAATTGCACAGAAGGAAACTGCCCATCCTTCTTCCACAGAACAGCCTGTGGAGTAAAACACCTGCCTTGGGCTTAGCAGCACAGCTCTTACTCACCAGGGCCCCAGAGCTCCCTGTTAGAAAGAACAGAGGACAGTTAGAGTTCTTGTAATAAGTCTATTGTAATAGGAACTGTATAATGGACATTCTGGGGAGCTCTGATGGTACAGTCCGTAGCAAGTTACTGCGGACATTCTGGTCCCTTTGTCATTTACAACCCTAGAAAACCCAATGGAGTGTTGCTATGAGTCTTAACCAATTCAAAGACAGTGAGTTTTATACACACGTCTAGTGATAGTGCGTGTGTGAGGGGTTTGTGCACACGCACGTGCACGTGAACATGCACACCTGCTCTGCAGTCCACCCATTGTCGTACAGACCTTCCTTGTTTCCCCAGCTCTGTTGTCTAAGTACCACTGTTACAAATTGTCCCCAAATTGAGCGGCTTCAAACAACAAGCCTTTACCACCTCATCGTTTGTGAGGGGCAGGAACGCAGGAGTGCTTGAGCTGACTGGTCTGGCTCGGTCTCTCTTGCGGTTGTTGGCAAGGCTGTGATCATCTCAAGGTCTGACTGTGGAGGATCCCTGCCCAACGTCGCTTCTACGGCTGTTGGCTGAGGCCTCGGCTCCTGACTCTGTGAGCCTCTCCACCGGCTGCCTCAGTGAGATGAAGACGTGGCCACTGCTTCCCCTGGAGCTAATGATCTGAGTGGGGGTGTACATATGGTGGACACTCCATCATTTCTGACATCTGCTGTAGAAACACAGCCCAGTCTTGGTAGAGATAGGGCATGCTACAGAAGGATGGGGCCACTGTGAAGGGTGGCTACATGGCAACCTCACTGGCTGTGGGATATACTCATGAACGCACCACGTGTCCAGGTCCTTCCACCTGCCTTTCCACTTCACTCAAAACACTGAGGACCGCAGGGAAGTCCTGCTGGAGAATCTGTGAATAGAAAGATGGACAGATTTCTGATGACTCCAGGATCGGTCTCAACCCTCGTTGTTGTTTTTCTCTTTTGTCCCTGCTGTAGGGAGACACTGGGCCCAGAGGTCTCCCAGGAGCCCCAGGACTACCTGGACCACAGGTAGGTGAGAGTTAATGTATGCACGTGTCCATTTTCATCTTACTGATGCTTTTAATATGCATCATATTATGGGGAAGAGTGATGTCCAGTGTAGAAAACCCGATAGTTTCAAATCAGAAAGTCTTGATCAATGTCTAATTATGACTAATGAAATAATCTCAGACCAGTCACTGGAATTTGTTGGCTTCAGATATCTCATCTGAGTGGTGCATGTGAAATAATAGGTTGAAATGTGCAATAATTGCTATTTAGACATGAGTTTTGGGCTCACATGACTTTGACATTAAGTGTTAACCTTGAGTTTGATCTTCTGAGCTGTCTGAGCATGAACAGAATCCTTGAAGCCTCTGTACCTCCATGTGCCAATTGCTGTTGGGTCAATTCCAACTCATAGTGACCCTGTGGGAGACTAGTAGACCCTGTAGGAGATAGTAGTAGAAGATAGACGATTTCCAGTGCTGGTATTTTTAGAAAGACTGGCCACCTCATCTTACTCCTGTGCAGTGGCTAGTAGGTTTGAACCTCTGACCTTCTAGTTAGCAGCCAAACACTTAATTTCCATGCTACCAGGGCTCTGCACCCATGGTATATTAGAATGGAAATCATGTGGTTCTTTCAGGACCTGGTTGGTAAAGCCTTTATCCTGGGGGGTGTGAATGGTTAAGAGCTTAGCTGCCACCTGCAGGCAGGCCATTCCCATTCACCCACTTCTTTCTGACTCACATGAGGTTACCATCAGTTACCATCAAATCAATGGCAATTGGTTCATAGGGTTTTGACATGGCCAAGACTCATGCTTCAGGAACCACACACACTTAGCCTTCAGGTAGATGGAACAAGAGAGATTTCACTGAGCAGAGTTAGGTGGCAAGTCACCAGGGAGGAGAGGAGGACTAGAGCTATCATGGAGCACACACCTAACGCCTGTGCTGTTTACTGCATATTAACCTTCCTCTCTAGGGTTTTTGCTCACCAGTCAGCTCCTTGTGCAGTGCCTTCTGTGGGCCTGTGATCCTTAAGTAACCTTGACTGTCAACTTGCTGGCTGCCTGGGCTTATCCCCTGGGAAGAGTGGCCTTGATTCAGAGAAACAAAAGCAAATCAATTAAACAGCTACAGCATTTCCTTTACTAGACACAGATTGCTTTCTCTGTCAGCCCAGCCCCATGTGAAGAGCTGATGTCCAGGGATAATGGTTCAGCATTTGTTCTCTGAATTCCCTCCAAGGAAGGTTTTGCTTCTTTACACATCTTGAGAAAGTCAAAGACAATCTCCATTCTTAGAAATAGAACAAAAGAAATGTGTCAGAGGAAAGATGCCTGCTATCTTCAATGGGGATTTTCACTAGGATGACCCAGGGATGTCCTAGGATTCAGGTCCACCTGATAATGAGCTCTGGGTTTTGGAAGTTGACCACCAATCGTGTCTTCCCACTCCGTTTTATCCTGAGAGCTCTGCTGAAGTTGTTCAGCGTCTCAGCAACTCCCAAGCTCCCACTGACAGGTCTTCACTGCCCTTGAGGTGCAGTGATAGGGAATTGAATCTCGGTCTCCTAGATGGAAGGAGAGGGACCTCTGTTACAAACTAGCAGATACCTCTGTTAGTCCAGCTGGCTACACATCTCTCAGCTTGCTGTGGGACAGCTTATGTTGCTATGACACTGCAAGTTATTCCACCGGCATTTCAGAGCCAGCGGGTCACGCATAGTGGACACATTGCCACAGAACTTCCTGACTCAGTCACACTAGTAAGCACTTTGTCAGCTTTTGAAAAAAATCGCTAAGAGCAGTGGAGGAACACTACCTGATATGGTGTGAAAGAGGATTCCAGCCTGAAGGGGCTCAAAATATACACTGATTGCTAAGATGTTATTTCCTTTAAAAATCCAAATGCTTAGAGAAGCATCCAAAAGTAGTGTAAGAGAGTTTGTTTGTTGTGAGTTGATCTGATTCGAATCAGGCAGTACCTGCCTGGACATACTGGGAAGGAGTTTTGAGAAAGGGACAGTGAACGTGGGCTGCATGGGGCAAGTTATGGGACTAGTTGGGGCTGTTTGTAGACTACTGTATCCTTGGTGCATAGAAAATTTTCTGACACATGGTTGGCAAGGATGAATCAAAGATTTCTTTCTATAAATCCAGTGCTCTTGACATTTATTTTGAAACCAGTGGTATAAGGCATTGTGGTCTAGGAAACTAAGAGAGTAGTGAGGGCGGGGAGAGGTAACCAGGCTGACAGGTCTGGTTAGATTGCAGACCTCAGTTTTTGGTTTGTTTTTTTTTTTTTAGCCCTGTGTCTCTGGAGACTAAGGTGTGTCTGATACAGGCCATGGTCTTTGTGATCACTTGTTATGCATCAGAGTTGGACAATGACTAGGGAGGAGAGAAGGAGAATTGATGCCTTTGAGCTGTGGTGCTGGAGAAGAGTATTGAATGTACCATGGACTGCCAAGAAAACAAACAGATTCATC